TTAATTTTAATGTAAGTTTACAGAAACTTACAGTTTCCATTCATTCATTGTTGCACTTTTCTCCCTGACCACCCCCCCCACCCCGTTCGCTCTTCTCTTTGAAAAGTAAAACAAAAATTTTTTCATTGTTACAGAATCCCTCCCTTAAGTCCACTCCACTCTACAGCCTTCATTCTGGATTCCTGTCTTGACGATAATACCTAGTCACATATCCTTTTTAAACGGTTCTCTCCCTCACCTGTTTCAATGCAGTATACATTATTTATCCCCTCTTTCTCAGTCTCCCCCCCAAACCCGATGTCAGTCCCATTTTACAATAGTGACACTATGCAGTATTTGTCCTTTTGTGACTGAGATATTTCACTCAACATAATGTCCTCCAGGGTCACCCGTTTTGTATAAAATTGCATGAGTTCCCATTTTTTTTCCAATGCAGTGTAGTATTCCATTGTGTGACTATACCACAGCTTCTCTATCCATTTATTTGTTGATGGACACTTATGTTGTTTCTAACTCTTTGCTATTGTGAACAAAGCCGCGATAAAGGCATCCATTCTCCTTCTGTCATCCTTTGTCATTGTCCAGCTCTCGGATGCAGGACAAGTGATTGAAAGGACGAGAGCCTGAATCAGGCGCGTGTTAGTAGTCTTCAAACTGACGTCATTACTTTTCACTATTTTGGAGAGATCCCAGGCAGCCGACTTGCCCAATGCAGTTCATCTCCTGATCTCCTGACCAAGGGGACTAAGGGTGTTGACTGTGGATCTGATTCAGATAAAATCATTGACAGTTTCAATCCTTTATCTATTACGATATTCCATTATATACCTTATCGACAGCTAACCTCTCCCCATATCTCTCCAGTAGTCTAGGTCTTGTATTGCCCTTAGGACTTGGGATTGGGCTCTTAGAGAAAGATTATTGGCCTCTCCCAGCTCATAATAATTCTCCCTTTCTCTGTTCCTGTGGTATTTTCCGTTTTATACTGTGCACAACAGCAAGTTTTTCAGTAATACTTGCTGACAGTTTCTGCATAAATCTTCAGTTCTGAGCACAGAACTGGGGATTGCCTTCTGTTTCGTGTATTACTTACGGCTCAAGCAGGCTTGTACGTTCCTTGGTAAATACTGTCCTTTTGCTTGTGTTGTTTTCTTTTTCTGTAGAACTTTCCTTGCTGAGGTTCCTCAGTGCTGAACTCACAAGAGGATACTTCCTTGAACACAATGAGGCCAAGTACACAGAACGAAGAGAAAGAGTGTACACATGCATGCGAATACCAAGAGAGCTGGAAAAGGTACCGTTTTTATTTTCATTGCTCGACACCATTTGAACGTTATGTCTAAACGTTAATTATACAAAGGAAGAAGCTTCATAAAAAACTTGAGCTCATTTTGGTTTTTGAAAAATACTGGGAACAATTTTATGATAAAGGATGAACTATAATGCAGAAGGAAGGAAAGGAGCCCTGGTGGCACAGTGGCTGGGCATTTGGCGACTAAGCTCAAAGTCAGCAGTTCGAAGCCCCTAGCAGCACGGCCAGCGAGTCATCTGTGGGCCGCCACCCTAGACGTGTATGGGGCTGTCCTGCTCTGTCTTACAGCTGTGATATGGGTTGGAATTGACTTTATAACAGTGGGTCTTGGGCCTGTAACTCTCAAGGTAAATTAAACCATGAAACATATTAGTTTGCAAAAGTACAAATAGTTCTTGAGGAAAAAGTATTTTTAGTTAGGGTGACGCTCCGAAATAGCTTGCCTCCGGAAACCCTGTGAACTTGGAGAAGCGATGAAAGTTATACAAGTGTTCAGGTCTTTAGTTCATAGGGTCACTATGAGTCGTCTATAATTCGACGGTACTTAACAACAACAGCAAAATAGAGAGAGCTCACTTGGCCTAGTGGACAGAAAGTGATGCTACCAAGCCAAAGGTGGGTGATTTGAATCTGCAGCCCTCAGGCCTGGTTTTAATTGTTTTTGGTCAAACATTCTTCTAAGTGGTACAGCACTACTCTATCCATTTGCTGTACAGAGGTAATTTATGGTTGCTGTGATGCTGAACACTGTGACACTGATGTATCAAATCTAATAGTGGTTACCCATGGTGGACAGTGTTTGGTGGAGCTTCCCGATTAAAACAAGCTTGGAAGCAGGAATGGCATCTACTTCCGAAATAGCCTGCCTCTGGAAACCCTATGAACCTGGAGAAACAATGAAAGTTATACAAGTTTTCAGATCTTTCGTTCATAGGGTCACTGTGATTCACCTATGACTCGACAGCACTTAACAACAGCAACGAAAAGCTCTAGGTGCTAGCCAAAGGTTGACAGTACAGACCCACCAGCTGCTTTTTGAGAAAAAGATGGGGCTGGCAGTCTGCTTCTGTAACTGTTATGTCCTAGGAAACACTACAAATGGGTAAACTCTGCCCTCCAGGGTCTCTGTGAGTTGGAATCACCTTGATTGCAGCAGGGAGAGGAATTCCCATGAGGAAGACACTTAGTGTGAAGGAACCAATGATAGCATCTGAATTACTACAGTCACGTTCTTATATTGCCACTGAACGTTTCTGCTCACGGTAACTTTGCTCCTTTTTAAACTAACATCCATCTGTGTGCCCATCTAAGCAGTGTTTGTAAGATCTTAATCTCCCCTTCTGTACTCTTGGTTCTCTTCCGTTTTGGTTACGTGAAGCAGGTGCTTTTGTTTTGTTTTCCCATTCAGTGTGAGAAATTATTTCAAGACTTTTCTCAAGAAGCCCACATATTTAAAAACATAAATAACAAGTCATTTTCAAAGAAAAGCTTGATTTCTGTTTAGCCTTCATCACAGAAGGCATCACATTGTGATATAAACACGTTAACAGCCACATTAAATCTTTCCTGCCATATTCCTGTGGTGGTGTCTCTGTCACACACTCAGGCCCCATGAGGCCCGCAGGCCGCCTCCCTCCCCTCAGCATGGCCAGAGTGACCCAACTCGAGGTGAGGCTGAGCAAATCCAGAATGTCTAGAAGAATAGAAGTAAGAAATAATGCCCACTTACCTTCGAGTCGTACTTCTCATATTAGCGTTGAAAGAGGGCTGCATGCCTGGGAAAATAGAGGGCCAGCAAAAAAGAGATGAATTGACACAGGATGGACAGGGCAGGGGTTTGTTCTGGTCAACATAGAACCACAGTGGGTCAGAACCAGCTCACCAGCACCTAATACTATGATATCATAAACTTGTATATTATTAAGGAGCAATGATGTCAGTTTGAGGACTAAGGTGTGCCTGACTCCGGCCATGGTCTTTTCAGTCAGTTGCTGTGCAGCTGAGACCTGGACAGTGACTATGGATGACAGAAAAATTATTGATATCTTTAACTGTGGTGTTGGAGAAGAGTGCTGAAGATCCCATGGACAGCCAGAGAACAAACAGATATGTATTAGGGGGCAGCCAGAGTGCTCCTGGAGGCAAAGGTGACAAAGCTTTGTCTCAAGTACTTTGAGCATGTTGCTGAGAGAGGCTGTTCTTGGAGAGGAGCATTATGCCTGGAAAGGTGGATGGAGGGTCAGTGACAGAGAGGAAGACCCTCAACCAGACGCATTGACACAGTGACTGCAGCAACGCCCTCGAGTGTGTCAGAGATTGTGAGGATGGCACAGGACAGGACAGGTGCAGGTCCGTTTATAGGGTCACTGAATTGGAGTTGGACTTGATGGCACCGAGCAACAACAACAGTACACATTTCGTTAGTGTGGCAGTTAGAAGAGTTTGGTTCTTTTGCATTGTGTTGTAATGTCAGGTGCCTGGGGGACAGTGAGAAGTGTGGACCCAGCTGGTGTGGCTCATCTTTGCTTTTTGACAGCCCCTCAGTTTGAAGAAAGCCTGGTGGAGAGTGACAGTTTCAGATGCATTGCTTCACATGACTTCTTGGCAGAATGTCGCTTCCTAAGGTTTCAGGGGGCTCTGATTTATTGTGATATGTAGGGAAACAGGACAGACGGTAAAATGGAACTGCAGTTGCCTGTGACCATGATCGTAAAGCGAGCCTGGTGGTTAGGTCTCTGATGCTGCCCTAGTTACACAGTGGAACCTGGGGGGTGCTGCTCGATGAAGTGGAAGGAGCTCGGAAAGACTGGGTGTTCCCCCCACCCCACCCTCCCGCCAGGCAGCAGCTCTGTCTCAGGTGTTACAGTTTATGCACGGTTTGGTCATGGGGAGATGTAGGATGCTTCCTATCTCTAGAGAGAAAAAAAGTTCAAGCCAATCATTAAGGTTATTATTATTATTATTAAGGTTTTTGTTGTTGTGTTTCTTTAAATAAAGCCTTACCTTGCTTTTTGAGCTCCGGTGCCTTAGTGGGTAAGGAGTTGTGCTGCCAGTTCAGTGGCAGGTGGTTCAAATCCATCTGCATCTGGGAAGACGAGCAGTCTCCTCCTGTGGGATTCCCAGCCGCTGAGGGTCAGCTGTGAGTCGGTTCCGAGGGCATTGATTGGGTTGTTCTTTGCAGTGATGAGCAGTGAGGAGGAGTGTGACGACATGCTGCAGGGGTCACACAGCCGGCATTCTGGTGGAGGACGGTGCCAGGCATGTTCAATCGGTACAAGGCAGTGCCGTCTCAGACCCGTGCTCCTCTGGCGAGGGCAAGGCGAGGTGTACCTGCAGCCCCCGAGCCAGGCCCTGTGCGTGCAGCCTGGGGGAGGTCACTTCTCAGTGCCCAAGAGTCTGTCAGACCCTTAATCTCCTCCTGTGCCAAAAATAACGCGCAGTTATTTCGTAATTCTACTTTTCACTAGAAGCAAGGGCAAGTAAAACTTTAGAAATTTTTTTCAATTATTATTTTAATTTATTATTAATTTTAATGAAAATTGACAGAGACTTTGGGTTTCCATTCATTCATTGTTGCACTTTTCTCCCCTCCCAACCCTCCCCTCTAGTACACTACCCTCTTGGAAAAGTAAAAGAAAAATTCTTTCATTGTTTTACAAACCCTCCCCCAGGTCCACTCCACTATGCAGCCTTCGCTCTGGACTCCTATCATGACAAAAATACCTAATCACATATCCCTCTTAAACAGTTTTCTCTCTCATCTGTTTTAATGCAGTATACATTATTGAACCCATTTTCTCAGTCTCCCCCCAACACTGATGTCAGTCCCGTTTTATAACAGTGGCACCATGCAGTATTTGTCCTTTTGTGACTGAGATACTTCACTCAGCATAATGTCCTCCAGGGTCAACCATTTTGAATAATATTGCAGGAATTCCTTGTTTTTCAATGCAGCGTAATATTCCATTGTGTGAATATACCACAGCTTTTCTAGCCTTTCGTTTCTTGATGCACACCTGGGTTGTTTCCAACTCCTTGCTATTGTGAAGAAAGCCCTGATAAACATGGGTGTGCATATATCTGTTTGGATGTCAGTTATGGTCTCTTTGGGGTATATTCCCAGTAGTGGAATTGCTGGGTCAAATGGTATCTCTATTTGCAACTTTTCGAGAAAGCGCCATACCGCCTTCCACAGTGGTTGCACCATTTTACACTTACACCAACAGTAAATAAGGGTTCCAGTTTCTCCACAACCTCACCAGCATTTGTTACTTGCTGTTCTGTTAAATTCTGCTATTCTGACTGGATGAGATGATATCTCATAGTTGTTTGGTTTACATCTCTCTGATAGGTAGGGATTTTGAACATTTCTTCATGTGCTTGTTAGCCATCTGAATGTCTTCTTCGGTGGAGTGTCAGTTCATATCTTGTACCCATTTTTCTACTGGATTATTTACATTTATCTTGTTGTGGTGTCAATTATTATTTTTAAGAAAAGAATAAAACCAGTACTTCATTGCCTATATTGACAGTACATACTGTTTCATGGAACTTTGGTTTCATTTATATTTGTTTAAGATGTATGATAAAAACAATTTCTAGGAGTCCTGGGTTGGTGCAAACAGTTAAGCATTCAGCTACACATGGTTGGAGGTTGGAAGCACACCCTACACTCCAAAACCTACCATGCCCCTCCCCAGTGTTCCTGGAAAGAGGGGCCTGGAGGGATAGCGCAGGAGAGGAAGACTCCAGATGAGATGAATTGACACAGTAACTGGGGCAATGCAGGTAGGTGTGTCCACGCCAGTGAGACTGGCTCAGGTCAGAGCTGGTTTAGAGTTCTTGTGCATAGGGTTGCTAGGAGTCATTCGATGGCACATAACAATGATGAGAGCCATGGGGAGCTCTGGTGACCTTGTGATAAGAAGCTACGCTGCAATCCCAGAAGTACGTGGTTTGAATCCACCAGCTGCACCATGAGA